TCAAAAAACAAAAAATTGTCAGATTGGGGAAAAGGTCTGGATTAACAGTTTTTACTGTTTTTGTTGTTGTTTTTATCAGCAATACCTCAGTTTGTTATGTTTTTTACCTCATTGAACACTTTGTCATCATCTGCACTTTGCCATTTGAATTCCATTAACCCGCAAATTAAAACATGTTAAAACTTGATAAAAAGGAATATTGTAATTTGAACAATGGTTAAAGATTGATTGGCTTTTATTATATACTTGTTTTTGTTATTCAGATCCTTATATGTCATAATTCAGACCCAACAAAATCCCCTCCCTCTATTAATGGCAGCTCACAACTGAGTCGTGTAATTTTACTTACCAAGAAACCATTACAGTCCCACAGAGGCCTCTTGTATTAATTCCCCCTGTCTTGCTTAGGGCAAGTTAAATCAGTGCAGCACTGGTGCAATAAAATGAAGCGATCCACTAAAATAACCAATTATTCCATTTCCGTTCAGGTTGTGGAGCGTCTGCTCTCTCTGCCGGTGGATTACTGGAGTCAGTATGTGATGGCTGAAAACGTGCAGTCCAATTTGAATCATTTGATCATCGAGAACGCAAACTGCTATGCAACCCCTGAGAGAGGTAGGAGCTCACTTTCCTTCTCTGTTTCTGCAAGACTTGTGTGGTGCTGTTAAAGATTTGTTGTTTTCCAAACACATTTGGATATGAGAACCCACAATGAGCCTAATAAAAAGAAAATACATTTTTTATTATTTGTTTAGGGAAGAAGGATAACAAAAGGAGGCTGGTCCTGTAGGAAATGAAATTGGTAGCTGTTACCTGCTATCAAGAGTTTACAACAAGTAGCAATAAGTCCTTTTTGGATGATTTGAGCTTAAGTTAAAGTTTGTCCAAACATCTCGGGTCACCAAAATACCAATTTATAACTTTTTTTTTATGACTTTTGAGTCTTTCTGGCCTGCTTTGAAATCTTAACCTACTTTGTAAAGGCTGGTTTATACTCAGAAACCAGGTCGTCTCCATGCGTGTCAAGGTGAATGCAAATGTGCCCCTCGCCCTTCCGCAGACACTCTGGTGCACCTCTCCAAAATTGTAACAGCAGACAGTGCCGCAGACAGGAAGCCTCTGATTGGTCCAATCTAAATCCACTCTACACTATGGGTATTTCCTGTTTGGTATCTTAACCGGCTTGTTTTGTTTGTATGTGGAAAACAACTTGTGAAAATGGAGCAGCTAGAAGATCGTGGTGCGTGAGACAATGGGACCCTTTTTCCACCTAGATCCCTGCTCTTTTTCGCCCTCATGTCCCTCCATTGTTACACAAACTTGCCCCTTGCGTTTTTCCACTTCCTCGCCCCCTTGGCCGTATCTAAGCCCACAGCTAGTTCGTGATTCTCCCTCTTGCGTTGTGGCGTGGAATAACGTAGCGCAGACCACGCATCAAAATTGGGCATAAATCAAAAATATCTGCGACACACACACTGCTGCGAGAGTATAACCAGCCCTAAAGAATGTTTGCTAATCCATTGGGGAGGTAATGTTTTGTGGGCTTTATTTTTATTAATTTTATTTTCTTTAACAGAATTTAAACTAGGTGAAGTTAAAGCTACCAGTTTCGGAGTTCTAATTGGAATGTTTGTACAGTTTTTTTTTATTTTTTTAGTCGGTAAATTCGATTCATTGATTTATCATATTGGTCAATGATCAATTGTTTCAGCCCATTGTTAATTTGAACTATTTAAAGTAAATCAATTTATTAGCTAAGGAACATATTATAAAATCCCATTACCTAATCCTCTATAAACTGTTTTTGTTGCAGGGAGCATGCTTGGACCCCTCGGCACCCCAGAACCCCTCACCAAAACCCCCTCCTCCAGCTCCCTGTCTCAACGTATGAGGTCCACCTTGACACCCAGGTAAATAAAGGATAATGTTCTTTGCAACGTTAACATAGCTTTAATAAACGACTGTAGTGAGCTCTCTTTTGTGCATTTATTACGATCCATGGCTGATTTCCATGTGTGAACTATTTCATTACAGATTTGGGAGCAAGAGTAAGTCAGCTGTCGGATTTACTCATCAAGGGAAGTTCTTTTCCTCACCGCTCCTCAAATAATACAACACTGCTCCAAATGACCTTAATCCATCCTCAGATTCATTACTCTGTACTAAAAGATGAGAGGTGATGCTGTTGGACGGATTTAATCAAATAGATTTTGCTTTCTCTTGCTTTTGACTTAAACTAAACGTATTGCTTCCATTTCAGATCATTATAAAAATGTCAAATATTTCCTGAAACTTGTTTACAGATGAAAAGAATATGTATGTGCAGCTTTTATTGTGGCTACGTGTTTTAATTTTTTGGGCTCCAGTTAAATGTGTCACTCAGAACCTGGAGAAACCATAAGGCATTTCATTTTAGGATGTAATTAGACAGGATTATTTTGTTGCATGAAAATTCAGTTTAGTGTTTGGTTATGTGGGGGCTTGTAATCTAAATGTGTTGAACCTTATAGTCCATGTTGCCATCAACTTCAAAAATCATTAAGACAGATCATAGAACAGGTTTTGTCTGTTGTTTAATACCCAGACCAGTAGTTTGTGTGGTTTTATTTTTTGTTTTTTATTGTATATTATTGTTTATTTCTCTTTTTAAATTTGTGTTTTGGGAAAGTTAAACCAAATGCACTGCCAAATGATCATTGCAGGTTTCCTGTCTGATTGTTTCACTCCTCTGTTTCTTCCTGTCTGTAAAAGTTAAACTGCTGGGGAAAAAAGCTATTTTAGTAGCCAGTTTAGCAACTGTGGCATTATTTGGTCTTATATTAACACATTTTATACAAAACCATTCTCTGTAAAACCATTTTTCATTGTGGAATACATTTCTAATACCTTCAAACGTCTCCTGTCCTTATTGTTGCAACTTCTTCGAGTTTAACTGAAAGTCTTTGACCTTAGTCCTGATCTGTTTAATAAATTCTGCTTTAAAGGTCCTTCTGCTTAATCAAAGGCAGCTGAACTTAGAGATTCTTTAAGAACTAATCCGTCTCTAAAGGCTTCCTCCTCAGTTGCTGTCGGATTCACTCAGCACATAAGCCATGTGGACTGCAGATTAGAGCGATAGCTGCATTATACTTCATTAGCCACTCTTGCTTTAAGCCAACCAGGTTTCATGTACTGCATGTAATTTTTTTATTCACTATATTAGCAACTCGAATATTGATGTGAATATCTGGACTTTGGGAAGCTGTGAGAAATAATGAACTTCATTAACAGATTTAAGTAGCAGTAGTTCTGATGTGATGGATTCCTTTAAGTAGATGTAGCTGCTGCTGTAAATTCATTACAAAATTTAATGGATAAATAAAGGACTTGCTAACTGACATACTGAAAGAAATAACTGCAAGAAATATTCCACCCAAGAGGTTTGGAGGAGAAAACTGCCTCCAGCCCATTGGTCTGTTAGGTAGACTACTGTGGAAAAATTCTCCATGATCTTTTTGATGATCTAACCTCATAACACCTGTTACTAATTAGTGGATAAAAGCCCGTCCACATAAATTGATGTTTCTGTTTTTAGGTCAGTGCATTGGCTTTATTCATTTATGTTATGCAGTTTGTACCTAAGATTAGCTCTAAACCTGACTACATATCTATAAAAAAAACTCCTTAGCCCTGGACACCTTATTAGAAGGCTAAAACCCTAACTTTTAAACAAAAGTCAGATTTGGAGTTTACTTTTTTATTTATGACTTGCTCATACTCTCCAATTGTGATCTGATAAAGAATCTGAGGATTGAACTAAAGATTAGGGTGATGGCAAGGAGGCTTTTGAAGCTAAAAGACCCTGAGCTGATCACCAAAGAGGGATCCTCTTCTGTCATAGACTTCAATTAGCTGATTCTCTTTCTAAAGTGGGTGGAGTTTGAGTGAACTGGGATATAGTTAAACATATTGACACAAAACATGCAAGAAAACCAGTTTTTGGGTCACTAATGGACTCCCCTAGTTTGCCCCCTGTAATCCACGCTGTAAGCTTTAGATGTGTCGAAATGGGTTTCAAGTTAACCAGGGATGATAAAAACTACAACCTAAACTATAAACTCCTGGAACATCAGTGTTATTGTCTGCAGTGGAGCCAGCCTAACGGCAACATGGATGGAGAAGATGCAAACCAGGATCTAAATAAGTGCTTCCAGCGTTAACTTGAATTTACATACACCTTTAAATCCCCTCTGGTGGAAAGATAAACAGTATTTCTATGGAGGAATCAAGGTGAGTTATTTAAAGTAAACTGTCAACCTCATGCTGTAGGGTTCTGCTTTCTGAAATATTGCTTAAATAGGTGGACTAATAGTCACCTAACAATCCTTAGTGGGTCAAATATTATTTAAATGTTAGTCTGTTTTAGAAGTATTTGAGAATATTTTATTTTTTACTTCTATAAGATGCTTTTTAGGTGGCTTTTTTTTTTTCTATGCAAGTCTAGAAAACAAAGCTCTACAGCTGACTTCAGCTCGCAAACTAACTCCTGTTTCCACTGTTTATTTCATATTCCATTTGTTTTTTTTCCCAACATGTTGCTCTAAAAATGTCTGCTAATTCCCATTGATAAACAGATCAGTATTTGTTTTGTCCTTTCAAACTATCAGATAATGCAAAAATCAATCTTTAACAGTTTGGTTTTGATTTTCTTCAGGTGTATAATGCCAGATTGTTCAGCTGTTAATTGTTTTGAGGTCATTGTGATTTCTTCCCCCTTCAAATTAATCAGCCCATTACACTCTTCCCAGAACTGTCTTAAATTCTTTCCCAGTGGGGTTTCTGAAAACGCAGAAAAGCTTAAGAGCTAAAGTTAATGAGGCCTTTTGCACATCAACAATGTCTCTCATACTGCCTTATCACCTCGTTCCAGGCGTATTTAACACATCACTCATTATTTCATACTGTACAGAAGGTGTTAGAATTTAAGACACAGTAAAATTATGCAGCCATTAACAAAAGAATATCCTTAGTTTGCATCTTTAATGTTTATAGCAGCTGTAAACAGTATCAAAACTTTGGCCATGGCCAGAGAAGAGGAGTGTTTTTAATGTATTCCTGGAAGGCAGGCTCAGATCCCCATTTCTTCATAGCCTGCTTCTCCAGAATGGGAATACCGCTGACATAACGCAGCAAAAACCACAGGAAGAGCGGAGACACCACGCTCAGGTACTGAGGCCCCTGCATGACAGATGATGCCGAGAGCCACAGACCCGACCACTGCATGATCTCTCCAAAGTAGTTAGGATGCCTGCTGTAGGCCCACAGTCCACTCTGGATGAATTTCCCCTGTTGACATAAACCAGAAAGTCATTTTTTTTTTCCCCCTACACAGAATAAGGCATCACGGGTCTGCTCAGAATAACGAGCCAGCTTACTTACAGCATTATCTGGGTCGCGCTTGAAAAGCCACTTTTGCTGATCCGCAATAGCCTCAGTAGCGAAGCCAATGCCCCATACAGTCCAGCCAATGTAGTCCCTCGGCCCCAGAGGCACATTGCGCTTCTCTACGTTAAGCATGAGGGTGGGCAGGAGGGTAATAAATATCCACGCCGCTGGAAGAAATAGAAAAAGATGAATCACTCAGCCTTGCTTTAATCTCTTCACCAAAAAATGCATTTAAGGCTGTGTAAATACCAGCCCCTGCCTTGAATAAATGCATATAAGGAGCAACAAAGCAGACATTGATTTATAACAAGAATCTCACTATACTGTTGAGGGCTGATCAGGCACAGAGAAGGAGGAGTTAAAGAGCCCTTTTCACATTAACACCACAACATTTTTATTGGGATTTTATTTAATAGATCAATGAAAAGTTATAGAAAGCTGGGAATTAAAAACTTAGAATGGTTTTCAGAGTTTTTCCATATACGAACCAGAGAGGTGCTGTTAGCTTTTCCTGCATTCTGCTAAAGTTAGATCTTTAGTTCTATAGTATAGATATATAGAAGCTGACATTTTTTGTTAATTCTTCATTGTAATAAAGCTCAATATGATTTAGGCCCCGTCCACACGAAGATGAACCCTGGCCTACACGCACAAATTTTTCACCAAACCAGCCTCTCATCCACACGAAGCCGGCGTTTCGGGGGTCTGTAAACGATCTTTTTTTTATTCAGCCTTCAGAGTGGGAAGATTTCGAAACGCCGTTTTCGCGTTTCCATCTTTACGCTCTAACTGCATTTTTTTTTTTACACACATGCGTCATAGCGTCGCCTCTAAACACGCATGCGCGACACAGTATCACAACAACAATGGCGCCGTTGCTGCTAATGCTACTCACCCTGCTGTCGGGCTTACAACAGAATCTTCTTCTTCTGGAATATCTCCAGGAAGAACAGAGCAATATCGACGGCATAGTTCAGCACCTGAATTTGACTTAACCACGAAAATGGACCCGCAGGGCAACCATGTATAAATATTAGTGCGCATGCCCAACATTTCGTCGCTTATTTTTGTTTTGGCACCACAGCGCCACTTACAGGCCTGGCATACATTTTGCAGCGTTTTCATGCATTCGTGTGGACGATCACATTTATTTTACGTCTCCGTCTTTACGGCAAACGTTTTGGAAAATATCAGCGTTTCGTGTTCGTTTTGACTTCGTGTGGACGGGGCCTAAGACACTATGTTTTGATCTATCTCTTGCATTGTGGCTCAGGCTGTAAGTTATCGGTTTACTCTCTCTGGAAGGTGAACCAGTGTCCCATTTTCAAGTCTTTTGGAGCTTCTAACAGGTTTTCTTCTGCGACTGAACCATTTCCAGCTACACTAAATTCTCCATTAACTCTCACCAGCAAGCATCCACACAGCATGATGCTGCCTCCTCCATGTTTCACAGTGGCAATGGTGTGTTCAGGCTTTTGTAGGCTGTCAAACATCAAGCTCTACATGACTTAAAGTAAACTCTGAATTGTCTTGGAGGTACACTTTAAACAATAGCGGCATTTCCATTGACCATCAAATTCCGAAATTGTTAAATGACAGAAATGTATTTGCTTAATGGAAACATGTTAATAAATATTTTTAAAAAAAACTTTTTTCTTAAACCTGTATGTGGTACCATGAGGTGTTTTTTTTTTTTTTATGTATCAATTTTTTTGCATTTCACAAAACTGCAATGAAAACACGAGATGTGATCAAATAACGGATATTACTACTAGTGAGCAGTAGGAGGATGATGGCTTGGCATTTTTTGAGTCATCACGTGATCAATTGCATTTATTTAGTGGAAATGCCACAAATTTCTGACAAATATTGACAGAGTTTGGGCAAATTTATAACGAAAACGCTGCTAATTACCATCTTTGTGTCAATATTTCCTAAAGGCCAGATTTATGGGCGGTCCTGTCGCCACGTCAAGCTGACTCTTTAGTTTTTCCTCTCCTTTCCACCAGTCAGTTACTGTGGACGTCCACATCTTGAAAGGTGTGTTGTAGGTAGAACAGAGGTCTTTAAAAAGTGTATAGCTTTGTAACTAAACCCATCTTTAAACTTCATCCCTGACTTCTCTGCTAGATGTATAATAAGATGAAATTACACATGGTTGGTTGGACTATTTATTAATTAGTTGACCTTTGGAAAACATTTTTTTTTATTGTTTCCCTTTTCACAATTATCGAATAGTTTTATGTACCACATAAAATCCTTAAAAAAAATGGAAGTTTTTGGTTTTCTGTAGAATCCCTTCCCCACTGTGGGGCAATAAAAGTATTTCTCTTACCTTGAACGCTCCAGTATACGAAAAAGGTCCCTGGGCTGTCTCTGACATTGTTGAACCTGCGATCATGACCGTCCTTCAAGATTCGCAGGAAAAGGAATGTCCCCAGCCTGCAGTGAGAACTCATTTAAAATCCATTCCCATTAACTAAGACATTATTCATTAACTCAAGAGTCCTGACTTTAAAGTTTAACATTTTTTATTTCCATCATCTGACCCCGTCAAGAACCCGACATGCTTCAAACTAACATAAACCTCCTGCCTCAGAGTGCAACATGTGGGATCGGTTCTGCCTTACTTACCTGAGTCCCCATGCTGTCACCAATCCAGTCTGAACTTTCTGTCGGGTAGAAGTTGCTCCTCCCCAGATCCGACTCAGGTGCGCCAGTAGAATAAATGTGCCGGATCCTTCAATAAAAGAGAGTCAGCAGTGAATTACAGAGGCTGGGATGAAGATATGCTGTTCAGAGCTACTTGTTGCAAGACAAGGCGTGTCCAATAAATCTTTTACCCAGGGTGCTTTAGACAATTGGTTCCAAAGTTCAAAGCAGAGTGGAGCACGAGAAGGACAAGTAAAAAAGAAGCGTCAAGGTGATTCCTTAGCGGGGAGAATTTTTATCTACAACGACCAACAGGTAAGCTTTGTGATTTTGGAAATGTTGAAAAATCTAAAGGAGTTTTAAGTTCCACGCTGATCCGATCATATAAATTACTTTAAAAAAAATTGGTAACTTCCTGATTGGAGTTATACTCAGCTATTCCCTCGAGTTGGGGCAGTTTTTAGGATTTTACTCTCTCTAAGTCTCAAATAAAATACAGATTTTCATTGTTTTTTGTTCTGAAAGGTCTGATCATTTCACTTATCGAACCAATGAATTAGTAGGTATATAATGTTGGGTTTGTGTAAAACCTAGGTATTGAATCTAGTATTAAAGGTAGACAGAAAAAGGATTTGGATAATATCAACAGTTAATTAAACCTAAAGCCATTCATTCCCATAAATCTGGTTAGAGGATATTTAAATAGGTCTAAGCTTCTGCAAAAGTGATGTCAGTTTCCATGTCAATCTATAGGATCTGTAAAAAAAAAAAAAGGGGGAAAAAAAATATTAGAAATACCAAGAAATAACAAATGCAAAGCTCAACATGCCTCAATGGCACAAAGTCCCTCCTTCTTTTATAATGCAAAAAGGTGACTTTCACAGGCGTTGTCAGACTCACTTTACTGCAGCAAGGAGACAGCATTGTGAGGTCAATCCTATTTTAAGCGTGAACCATGAAGGTTAAAAAGTTTTAATAAATATTACAAACACAAATCTAAAATCAGAAGCTACATGTTAGCCAAAATGTTCAACCCTAATCTGGATGGGAATATGGTTCAACAGAAAAGATCAAGCACAAATGAAATGACAAAGTAGGTTTCGAAATTCAATAAGTGAGACTATAATAACTCCATGAGATCCACTTTCAGATCCAACCATCTTCTCCCGCTCGTTTCCAGCAGTCTATGGGCGAGAGGCGGGGTCAACCCCTGACAGGTCTCCAGGGAAACACAGAGACACACAACCACACACACACACTCACACCTGAGGACAATTTAGAGGATGCCAAAATAGATATGCTTAACAGTCATGTTTTTGGAGGAAGCCGGTGTACCAGGAGAGAACCCATCCAAGCATTGGGAGAGCATGCAAGCATGCAGAAAGACTGCGGGCTGAGAATCAAACTAGGAATGGTCCTGCTGTAAGGCAGCAGTGCTACAAACGGCGCCACTGTGCAGCCCACCCTACGAGATCTGACTTTAAAATTTGTTTAATTCACAAAAACGATGGTTGGCATATTGTATTTGGGTTTAATAAAAAAGGGCATCAAACATGATTATTACCTTTATTACCATTACAGCAATCTAGCCCTTCATAAATTCGCTTTACAGCTTTTATCATGTTTCCATTATTATTTTTCACAGCTTATCTTTTGATGATAAGCTCCAATTATTTAGGGTTTATAAGAGCCCTTGTATTCGCCATAATCTTTAGCTCCCTCTGCAGATTCATTTTCAGATTCCACTCTAGCGGGGCCTTTTGGTCAGGAACGCCCCTGGTCCCATGATGGCTTTGCGCGCCTCTGGAGCTCCAGGCGCTGATTGGCTCTCCTCGCTTCTTAAGCGCTAGGAGGAGCTTTACTCCAGGGTTGTTTCACAACAAACCCACTTTAGATAATATACCAGAATACAGCTTTTGTAATCATTACGTGTTATCATTTATATGCTTTTGCAGAAAGTAGGCTATCCAAAATAAATTATATAAAACTGCTTTCCTTTGCACCAGCCTTTGTTTAGTTAGGCTAAAATGAAAACAGCTTCTATTTAAGCGTCGCAGAGCTTTGTTTATTTTTACCTGCCAAATCGTAGAACTTCTCTGTTCTGAAAGCAGCAGCCAGAGCCCAGCCAGCCCACTGGATCCCCAGGTCGGTGAGGGCGCATTTAGCGAGAGTGCTTCCCATGATCATGTCCTGAAGCTCGGCGAGCAGCCCGCTGATCTGAGCGCCTGTCATAAAACCACTCCTCCAATAACCAGACAAATAATAGCAGTTTGGGTAAAGTTCACCAGCGCAGGGCTTCAGGAAGCGAGTTCAGCAAGGAACTCTGGGTAATGTAGTTTAAATGGGATCAGGGCTTCCGATCATGATTTGCAGGTTAATCTCTAGAGATTAAACTAAATTATTATTTTTAATCCGAAACTAGTGTTTAGGGTACGAAAGAGGATTAGGGCCACTAACAAAAAAAAATTTCTGATTTTTAAATTTTATTTCAGTTTAGTATGGGTAAAAAGTCAGAATTCTGACTTTTTTTATTGTCAGAATTCAGTCAGAATTCAGAGATTAAAGTCAGAATTCTGAGAAAAAAGTCAGAATTCAGACTTTTTCCCCATACTAAACTGAAATAAAATTTAAAAATCAGTTAACTTTTTTTATTCCACTGGCCCTAATCCTCTTACGTATTTAGGTTTCTGATAATGTAGGTTTAGAAAATGTTACATGATAGGAATAAAGCTGCATTTTTCACCCTTCTATTGAGGACATGACTAACATTTAAAATTATGAAAGTTACTGCAGCCAATGTGTTTTAAAATTTAATTAATAGTTTGATTAATTTATCAATTATTTCATCAATCCAACTATCCATATTAGATTTATCATGATACTACAGTAAAATTCCAAACTTTATATATATCGATACCCAGGATAATATTCGACACTCAAAACTTTTTTCGATACTATGGGGGTGAAAAAAAAAATGCTTAATAATTAAAGTAATAGAAATATATTTATCGACATGAAAAAACTGACTGAGAACGTTCTGAGTTCGAGCCCCACTCCCACAGACTGCCACTCTGGGTCCCTGAGCAAGACCCTTAACCCCAGACTTCTCCCCGGACGCCGCACAGTGCCAGCCCACTGCTCCCCAAGGAGATGGGTTAAATGCAGACAGTGAATTTCTCCAATGTGAGATCAATAAAGTTCATTATTATTATTATCCGACTTTTCCCCAAGTCTTGGAGAAGTTTACACTGGTCCTTCGTTGTCTATGTATCATTCTGCCCAAAAGACCTTTTTATTTTCTCTTTCCAGCAAGTAGTTATTTCTGCATGATCAAAGAAATAACAATTTTAGTAAGTTATTGTGTGTTTGTACTACTATATTTATGTAAATCATTATACATGTAGAAAACCCAAAGGACTAACTTACCTCGGGGCCTGGTAACCATGGGGCCATGAGCAGTTGGTTAGTTTGCTTGGAACATCAGCAGTAAATCTTGATTTCTATGAACCGACTATGGCTCAAAATGTTAAATGAGATCCTTTGGGATTTTGATCAGAAAACTTAAATTCTTTATAAGAAAATATGAAGGAAGGCTTAACAAAATGTAAACATTTTAAAGAACATTTAATATATAAAAGTCACATGCTTTTGAAACTATTCTTTAGATAATTTTGGCAAAGTTAGTTTTTGGTGATGCTAGGGAAACTCCATTTAATTTTTAACCTGTTATTTAAGAGTGACCTTTATATTATCAGTTTAAATATCAACTAACTGTAAAGAAAACTTCATGTTATTGGAACAAAGTGCTTCATGTCCATTTTACTCATTCAATGGCAAAAACAGAGAAAGAATAGGGATTTTAACCATTTTTGAGACCAATTAAAAAATATAAGGTATTTACAATATGATTGTAAAGAATATTAAAGACTATAGAGCAGTATTAGAAACATTAATTTATTAAATTTGTGTTTCTTTCTAGCTATAAAATATATATATACTGGGAAGTATGTAGAATGTGGAAAAGTCACTTCTCAGACTGTTTCATTTTGTAGCCAAAATACTTATTTTTATTCTTATAATAATGTTAAGTATGTTTATGAACTAGCCTAATTGACATTAGCTGTTTAACTATGATTGTTAGACACACAGTCTTTCATTGTTGAGTAAATTGGATGAAAAGAAACATTCATTTTATTTATTTAGTGTAACAAAAGTTTTACTTTTTCAGAGGTATTTAAGGGTTTAGATACGTATTTATATGATAAAGGAAGTATTACTCTATAAAATCTGAAAGGTTGGTGTAAAATTCTGTAAACAAATAACAATCCAAAGATCTAAAAAATTAACAGTAATGCTTATGCTCAGTAGGAAAAATATTATCCAAAAAACTGAATTGTGAAATGATGTGTAAAAGTCCCTAAAATAAATTCATTTGTTGATACAATAGCATAGTCCTAAAAATCCAAAACATTTTGAACCGAAAAAAGAATATGGTTCGTTAACAACTATTATAGAGGCCAAAAATCCACTGTTTGTTAGAGTTTTCCAATTGAGCTTCAGAGGCGTTTCTTGCTCTCTGTAGTTGATGGCAAGATATCCATCGTTCCTTATTCTGCCTTTTTTGTCATATCTACATTATTTAATATGTTGTATATTTTCTTCCATAAATCTAAATTAATAATATTAGAAAGCATTTGTTTCACTTGAGAGGAAAGTTTTATTGCCTGGCTCAATACTCTCCTGTCTAAAGCAGACAACACCAATCACAGCGAGGGAGGAAGGCCCATAACGCTGTTTGTCCCTCCTTCTACATGACATCAGTTTGTCTGACTGACCAGTCTTGGAATCTTTCCTATTTTAAACAGCAGTGAAAACAAATATGTATCACAGCATATCCATAATGTTTATGTCATGATGTTTTTTATTTTCTGTTTCTGCTCAGAAATAAACACAGAAAAGCTCAAACATGGCAGACAGCACAAGTCCAAAAGGCGGCTCAGGTGATTTTGCAAAGAAAGTGCAAAAACAGTTGAGCAGAGGCAAAGAAAAGGTACAAAACTCCACAAATTGGTCTTCAGATACTGATATAAATAAAAAAGAAAGCCAAAAGATTCAGATTAAAATTTTCTTTAATCCAGGTGATGCAAAGGCTGGGGAAGTCACTGGAGACTAGAGATGATCAGTTTGAACGCTCCCTCCAGATATTCCTTGACCAGCAGGTAAGAAAAAGTCCCTTTAATATATGCATAAACTTATTCTATGACCTAAGATTATTATAGCCAAAGCATTTTACATCTTTCACAGGAAGATTTATATGTTCAAGAATGTACCCCTATCCACATTATTTCCTTTTACATCTAAAAACGTGAACATTTTATTATGAATTCTATTATTATATAAAATTTTATTATATTTAATGTAAAAACCAACATACAGTAACTTTTGCCTTTCAAGTAGAACAAGGAAACACAAATCAAAACCTTTAAAGTTTGATTTCTAAAAACACTAGTACTCCTTAATAAAGTTTAGAGCCAGTTGCTGCATAACGCATAGCAAGAGCTATAATCTAAGGAAACATTTTGTTTCACAAAGCAATTTTAATCAGTTAGAAAAATAATAACATAAAGAAAAACCCTGAGGAAAAAAATATAAAAATGTAAATCTAGTGGAGACAAAGAAACCCCCCAAAAAGACAATTACAATGGTGTGAAGAATGATTTTCTGAAAGTTCTGAGCTTTACTTTTTCCAGCCTCAAATCATAAAACAACAACAACAACAAAAAAAAAAACATGATAAAACAGTGCAGTTTGCAGTTATCAGCCTGAACATGAAATCCAAATAAGCAATAAAGTGTTTAGGAATAAAAATGTCAACAAAACTTCAAGGGATGGGAATATTTCTGCAAGGCAATGCACTGATGGTCAATAATGTAAAGCTGAAACTGATTGCAAACTCCTTTTCTATTTACAGACGGATGGGAACCGAATATATAAGGACCTAAGGAACTACATTAATGCAATCAGGGGTATGACGTGTTTTTGTTTGTAGATGCTGCAGGGATTCAGCTTTGTTCCATCCACAGATCCAAATTAGTTCTTTTTTTTTTACAGACATGCGTGAAGCTTCAAGACGCCTCTCTCAGTCGCTGTTTGATGTTTATGAAAACGGCTGGGCTGGGGAGGAGGATTTGGGAGCCATTGTAGAGGTTGGTGATGCATCAATGAACACCCATATAGACAAATAGGCTAAAGAGGAAAGGAAATCCACTCATTGCCTGCATTCTCCCTTTATATCTGTTTATGAATATTTAATGCTGGGTTGTTTAATGAAGGGAGAGGACCTCCTGTGGAACGACCTTGAGGTGAAGATGGTAGATCAGGCTGTACGCACTATGGAGTCCTATGTCTCCCAGTTCCCAGATGTTCGGGTAAGTCAACCAGGAAGCAAGTATGCAGGCAAACATTACCTGAATATGTGATATAAAACAAGCCTGAGAGAAAACACATAGAGATATATTTCAAATTCATATCAGTACAAACAGTTCTCTATAAATCAACTCTCATCTGTAGGAGAAAATCGCCAAGAGAGGAAGGAAACTGGTGGATTATGACTCGTCCCTTCACCACCTGGAGGCTCTGCAGACAGCCAAGAAGAGGGATGATATCAAGATCAACAAGGTCTTCAAAAGAACATTTAAATTCCTTCTAAGGCGGTTTTATTTTGCCTTTGTTTGTTTGAATATGTTCCATATTTTCACTACGCAGGCAAAGGAGGAGATGAAAGTTGCCAAAACCATCTATGATGGGATCAACAATGAGCTGAAAGAGGAGCTGCCTGTTCTCTATGAAAGGTCTGACAGTTTTCCTTGCAGCACAAGATTTCTTTTTTCATCTTTTGCTTCTTGCTGTTTTAACTGTATGTGCCTGCTTCTCTCCCTCTAGCCGAATCGGTTGTTATGTGGCTGTCTTCTCAGCTGTATCTAATTTACGTGGCATCTTCTATAAAGAAATGAACACGGTACGTGTCACTTTGAAGTGGAGCACAATTATAATGCAGCAAGAGTTTTCTTTTTCTTCTTTTTTTTTAAGCTCTATATCCTTGTTTTTTTTTTAGCTCAATCTTGATCTGCAGAATGTGATAAAAGAGCTGCAGACTCAGCATCCAGACAAGGTGTTTGCTTTGAGGGGGATGCAGAGGTACGTCTCCCACCTTTAGGTTTTAAATCTTTTTGGATAAAAAAACAAACAAAAAAAAACAGAAGCTGTTCTCATTTATTTATCACAGCTGGTGGTTTATT